CTAAATGATTTCCTTCCAAATCCCGCGTTACTGATATTGTCTTTTACACCTCTGGGTGGCCTGTGCACGGACCAATAGGAATTAGTCTGCCCTGTGTGGACGTTAGCAACAGCATTTCCATTGGTCCGCTCACAGGACACCTGAAAAAAATTATTACCAATAAAAAAAAAGGACTTAAACGATTAGAAAAACGTCTAAAGATTAAATCTGGAAAAAAAATATATCTAAAAACACACTTGAGAAGCTAAACTCTGGAAAATAAAATCTTAGAATAAGTAAATAATTATTTAAAGTATTGGTTTAACTTCCGCAGACAGTTTATAGTTTATTTTTAATTCTATATTTCAAAACTTCCAAATTCTCTTTCAAAAAATAAAAATATTTGTTTTTAGTTTAGGGCTGAAACAGTCAAATTGATTATTGAAACAATCGTCAACTAATTTAGTAATCATTAACTGGAGTATAGCTATGTCTTTAGCTGACAGAGCAACTAACTTATTATTATTAAACCACAATTTAAAAATATTGAGATAAACATTTTGCATTTAAGATAAAAATGTTTTTTTTTCCCCATCAATCTTCTCTATCCAGAACTCAAGCTTTAGTTTAGCCTAGTTTAATTTCATAAAGAAATCTTTAAGGAACCTTTGGCTCCGATTATTAATCAATTCATGGAAAAATTAATCGAGAGATTTATCAAAATTGTAAAATAATCGTAGTTTTAGTTTCAGTAGAATTGGAACAAATTTCTCCCCATACTGTTTGTGATTAGTGTCATAAATTAGATTTTAGTTAAGGGAATTTGAACCAGCAACCATATTCAGGATCTACGGTTTTCAGTAACATTGTTTCTGTTGCCTCTAACTTTACGTGTAATTCTACTGAATTACGGCTGAAACGATTAATCTGATCTATTGAATATTGGAAATAATCGATTGATAATCGATTGGATAACGATGCAGACTTTTTGCTAAAATAACCTGCTTACAGCCAGGATTCTTCATAAAAATCAATTATTAACTGTTTTTTTATTACGTACCGGTTTATGTGTGCGAGCGTAATTATATTTTACGTTTTTCCATTTGCAGTTAATTTAAAATAAATAAAAAATTAATCAATTTCTTTATCATCAAGTGCGATTTGCACTGTAATCTAGTTCTGGGTCCTTCTGCCATGACATCCAGGGGAGGTTTGATAAGGGGGGGGGGGGGGCAAAGCCAAAATCACACCCAACATGTTATTAAGGGGATTATTTTTCTGTATTAATGCTTGTTTATTTAGAAATAATAATTTACTAAAGGCATCGTTTATTTAAACGAAGCTTTAATTTCTTT